CAGCACACCACTGGGTCAGAACAAAGTCGTATCTATCGACTCTCCCGGGAGCGTGCTGGATCGCACGCCATTTCTCACACGGCGGGTGTTATCTTGCAAACCCTGGAGATACACAGGGTGCTGGGACCAGCCCAGGGCATTCTCAGAAGTGCCACAGGTAGATTTTTCTTCAATCATTTTTATTTGAAGGAAAAGCAGACCAAAGTCGCTTGCAATGAGACGACTGTTACCTTGCACACGTGGTTCTGAAATAACTACCACCACGTCTACACCCCTCTCAACTGATGTTGTCGAGTTATTGCAAAAGAGGAATTGTGTGTGCGTACGAGCGAACTGCCCTTAGTTACAGCTTCAGGTCCGTGAGGCAACGAGCAGGATTGTCACAGAAGAAACGTTAATTGCTCATGATGAACATGCCTCAAGCATGGTTGGGTTTTGGTTGTACCTGTGCAGAGCTCTGGGCTTGGCGGTGGATGACGGTGCCTTTCCTCTGGCAACCCACCACCTGACTGATTTTAAGCACGCGGTGGTTAAAACACCACAAGATTAAATTTAGAGAGAAATTAAATGACCACAAAATGACAACTTATTGAGTGCCCTTAAAGATATTTACAATTAAAGACCTTGTGCCTTAGTGATACACCGACCTGATTTCTTGACCTTGATCTGTTTTGCTGATTGGCAGTTTGGCGCAATCAGGCCACGCTGCAACGATCTGATACAAACACAGTAATGGAGAAAACTATAACCGAACCTGCCTTCCTGGGAATTACAGCAGCAAGTATTTCCCGCTGTAGAGCTGGGCTGGTTTGTGCTTTTCAGGTAATGCACGAGCCATGGGAGACCACCTACCCTGACCTCGCCAGTGCCGGTTCCTTCCCTTTCCAGACTCGCAGGGGACTGTGTCGCACCGGAGGAGAAAGTTGCAGTGAGAAGCACAAGGCGACACTGTGGGATGAAGCTCTACGAGCAGGGACTGGCAGTGCAAGAAAACAAGGCAACCCTTAAGCAGAAGCCTCAAAAATCCGTTTTAGAGAAGCTCAGCGGGTTACCAGAGCGTTGCTGGTTATGAAGGCGATGTCCTTGTGAGGAGGCACCTGGGCACACTCCGCAATGCGTAGCAGCAATCGCAGAGAAAGACCAGACTAAGCAAAGCTGTTTGTTGGTTAAGCAACACTTGTACCAGCCTGATGTTACCACTTGCTTCGTTCCCACTGCAGGGATTGTTTTAAAACAGACTTTGAAGCAAAAAACCACCTTTTTGTCCTGTATTCATAAAGAGTACAGGGTCAAAAGAACAGGCATGAGCTACATAAAGCATCCAGGTTCATTCAAACTGCAGAAGTTTGAGGAAACACACACAAAGTTCTTTCTTTATGTGCAGTTCTGCCTGGAAACGCTTCACAGCAAAGAGCATTTTACTACTATTGTTTAGAAACGGTTGCTTTCTGTTAAAAGCCTGCAAGTTGTCTGTAGGGCAGGGGAATTCCTCTCAGACTCTTGCAATTTCTGCTCCTGGCCTCTTCACTTTTTTTTTTCCCCCTTTCATGATGTCACCCGCATCTTAGGTGGCTAAAAATGACCATTTTTGGGTTCCACACCCAGTATGCTGGTGGCACCTCAAATGTCCCTGTAAGTATTTTGACCATCTCCATTTTGCTCAGCAACGCACACCTAGACATAAGAAATTTTTTACTGCATCCATCTATAAACTCTGGATGTCAATATATTAAAAAAAAAGAATTAAACACCAGGAGCAGAGGGAAGACTAACTGAACTGCAAGCTGCCACAATACTTTATTAAACTGCGTGCAAACTGGAGGCAGAGCAGGAGAAAGTTTCCAGCAACAGAAGCATCACGATCTAAGGTAGGTGATCCTCAATTTGCCCTTACAATACTCATTTGGAGTACAGTGCTGTTGGACAGAAATTATATGAGCTGCTTTGATGGATTTCACCTTTGATCCATAACAGGTCTGATATTTAAATAATTATTGATATAGAAATAAATGTAGCATAACTCGGTTTTGGTAATTTCTTCTTGAAGTAGTGTGCCTACTTTTTTAAAAAGCTGTAAATTAGTTTACTGGCTTTTTTTTTTTTTTGCCAAGAACACACGAAAATGGTGTGGGCAAGGTAAGTTCTTACGCAAGCCCACCCAGAGAGACTCTACCCAGTTATGTCGCAGCAGCTCACTCACTTTGGATGGTGGCAGGATGACGGTTTAATCAGATGCAGAAAATTGGTCATATAAACACTTTCACAATACAAAACAAGCAAAGACGGGGGGCGGGGTGGGGGGGGAAATCCATGCATGGTTTACCACTTAGTAAACTGGTGTTTCTGGTATTTATAATACTAGCTCTTTCTTTTCACTTTCTGCTTTTTTTTTTTTTTTGATAATGCCTATTTGCTGGTTATAAAAAAAGAACTCGTCACCTAAAGCTTAAGATTAAATGACATTAAAATATAGCTGACAGCTCCATCCTGGGAATAGCAAACCAACTTCACTCTCCTATATCAGTGCTCACTCTACACGGGCACTTTGACACTGAGAGCTCAAATAAAGCAGCTCAATAACCCAACAACGCAGCCAGAGCAGGCACGTGGTGAGAAAGACCTACCTGCACGTGCTTTATTTTAGCTTCCATCTATTCCATAAATCGGTGGCAGTGCGGGTTGGCTGACCAAGCTTCCTGCACATCAGCCACCACCTCCTACCTGAAAATCACACATCACCCAACACCAGCAGATGCTGTGGGTGACCCAGGAAAGGCACTTGTAGTGCTGCGGGCTGGGTGAGGTGACAAGGGCTCAGCTGAAGGGACCCAAGAGAACTGGACTGGTTTTTCTCCAAGAAAAAGTGAGATCTCATTAGCAGCTTGAAAGCTCTTTGTGGTGGTCATAGCAGGCACAGTTCATGCTCTCGAGGCTCTTTGCTAACGTGTTGCTTGTTGCTGCAGGGAGGGAAAAGGAGTGAATAAGGGAGTTGTGGAGTAGGTGTAAGTGAGCTTAAAAGGCAGCAGCTGAGGGATTGTGTAAGCCTGGCACCCACCTCCCAACGAGGCAAGCAGGCACCCATCTCCTAACAGGGAAGGAGCTTGCAGATGCTTCCCACCTCTGTTGTTAATGGACTGGTGCTGGGGAGAATTTAGCATTAAAACCCACCAATTTTCAAGTCACCTGTCCACTCTGTCCAGATGCAATGAGAAAAATACAGAGGCTCTGCTGAAGCCACTGCCCAGAGTGAAGCTACACAGAGCTGGGGCGTCTCGCACGTCTTCCTTGCCATTTGAGAGGACACAGAAGCTGTTTTGCACAGGCAGATGTGGTTGGCCAGCTGTGCACAGATACACACGCATCTCCACACAGAGCTGTCTCCACTGCCTCCTGCATGGGGAAAATAACGGAGGGGAACCTGCGTGAGGAGGATGCTGTGCCAGCTGCACCAACGCAGAGCTTCAGCCTGCGCTGAAAAGGGAAGAGAGTGTTTCTGCCATCCTGTCCCACGGTTCCTATCAGGGCGACGGGGAGAGTTGGATGAGGCTGAGTTTGCAAGCTAGGAGTTCAGGGCTGGGGGAGATGCATGTCATCCCCAACACAGCATGTGTGAGGCACAGCAAGCCACTGGTGTACCCGCTGAGCCCATCTCCCACTCCCCTGCAGCACAGAGGGGTGGGGGGTGGGCAAGCAGCAGGCCCCCTTGGGCATCCAGCCCAGGATGCTGCTGCCAGCAGCAGCTGGCAGGACTCAGCTCGGCACCATGGCAGGCAAGAATAAGGCTCACTGCGGCCCTGAGCTGCTCTCGTTTCCTTGTTCGTGTTTCCCGAATGCTTTGAAGTGATTCCAAAGCACTAACAGGTATGAAAATAAACCACGTGATTTACGCCCATCGAGGTTTTAACTGCGGTGGGGGTTAGGCGAATCTCAGACAAAGAATTTCAGCAGAGACTCTTTAGGATAAAACACTGCAGTAATCAACAGTCAATTTTTAACTCAAACAAGGAATTTCCTTGTTCGTGTTTCCCGAATGCTTTGAAGTGATTCCAAAGCACTAACAGGTATGAAAATAAACCACGTGATTTACGCCCATCGAGGTTTTAACTGCGGTGGGGGTTAGGCGAATCTCAGACAAAGAATTTCAGCAGAGACTCTTTAGGATAAAACACTGCAGTAATCAACAGTCAATTTTTAACTCAAACAAGGAAGTCGTTCTTCTC